CTCCCGAACCCGGGAGAGATATTCCCCAACGGTCAGGGGTAAATCCCCTTAATCTAGGGTGGAATCCTCCGAGACCCGGAGGTCAGCATCCCTCATACGAGAGGCCATTCCCCCAGGAAATGGGCAGCTCATCCCCTCGACGGCTGATTCCGGTTGACGGAGACTTCCACTTTTCGGAAGAAGGAAGTAGTCCGAGGCGTAGGCCTCTGGATTACGCATCTCTTCTAAACTCAATGAAGAAATGGGACGCGCATTTCTCCGGTCTTCCGCACGAAGACGTGGAATCATTCCTCGCGAGAATTGAGGACGGGCGGGCATTCCTCGCAATCCCCGATGACGTTCTCATCGGTGGTATACCATTTTTATTATCCGGTCCAGCACTAACCTGGTATCGGGGCCGTTGCCCTGAATTCCGAACCTGGGAACAGGTTCGAGCTAATTTCCGAACCACATACACGGATCCTGATTACCAAACGGCGATCCGAGAGGAACTCGCTCTTCGTACTCAGGCCGAGGGTGAATCGGTCGATAACTATTTCGCGAGCATCCGCGGGTACTATTCCCGTATTAGCCCCGCGGTTAGTGGAATTGATCAGGTGGTACAAACCCACCGTAAACTCCTCCCAACCCTCCAGGTCGGCATCGCCCTCCGGGACGGTATGACCATGGATGAGTTGGAGATGGCGGCAAAACGTCTCGAAAAGATCTACGAGAAAGCCGTCGATAGGCGTCCGCCTCCAAGGCCGGAACACTCGATTTGCCCAAGTTTGGCTTATCGTGAATATCATCCGGCTCGATCGCCGGCACGCACACCTTTCCGTCGTCCATTAGGGGTGTTCAGGCCTCCGTCCGTAAGGACGGTATCCTTCGACGACGAAGGCACCGAGGATTTCGAAGAGGGCCCCTACGCGGATTATGCGGGGGAATATCTCGCGGTCGACGCTGTTCAAGGACCGCCACCTCGGCCCCCTCGGATCATGAACAACAATCCAGCCAGACCACAGGCTTGGCAGGCGGCGAATCCTGCCCGCCCGCGATCGCGGGAAAGGCAACCACAGAATACTATCTCTCCGCCCTCCGGTCAGCCGAGGACTGTTCCTCGCATTGACCCGGTCCCTGTCGTTAACAATAACGACAGAGGTACGCGAAATCGCTCTCCACCTTCAAGACCTAGCCTGGACAACTTGGAGTGTTGGAATTGCCGCGGAGTCGGTCATCGTCATCGGGAATGTCCCGAACCTCGCCGGTTATTCTGCTATCGTTGCAGATTATCCGGGGTGACGACAATGAATTGTCCACATTGTAATCCCGGCCATCCGGGAAACGACTATCGAGGCGCGTAAATCGGGCGTACGTACCTCCGCTTCGGCACGATTCACAGCCGGCTTCCCGTGGTGTTTCAAACGCTACGGGCGAGGAACCTCCTCTTCCACGACCCTCCACGGGATCGTTGGAAATATCCCGTGTTTGTTCCGATCCGCAAGTTCTCTTGACACCGGAACCTATGCCTCCGAATGAGGTCATACTACACGCGGCTTCCGAACCGTCTCCGCGAGCCTTCCACGTGGACATCGTTATCGGCGGGTTGAGAGTACGAGCTCTCGTAGATTCCGGCGCAACCAAGTCTTTCGCGGGTATGGGCGGCATCCTTCTCTTCGAGAGGGCTAAAATTCCGTTGCTAGAGGTACCCGAGAAAAGGGTCGTTACCGCGAGTGGGAAAGTCGAGCTCGTGAAACACACCGTCGCATGTATCACCGAGCTTGAGGGGCGACCTATGCCCCTAGTCGCGTATGTTATGCCGACTTTATCCGAGGACTTCATCCTCGGCATGGATTTCCTTGTGTCCGCGAAGATCGTTATTGACTTTTTCGATCAGACCTGGTTTTACCGAGAGGAGCCGGCGCGGCGGTTCCGCTTTACTCCTATCCATCAAGTTCCGCAACTCAGCATGTGCTGCGGTTTACGTTCCGTCGAGAAACTCCAGGAGCAACGACTTCGGAAACTTCTCGACCGGATGCTCCCCGAGGGGGAAGGCAAATTGAGGGCGACAACCCTCACATCCCATCGTATCGATGTTAACGGCCATCCTCCAATACGGCAGCGGCCGTACCACACAACTCCGGCAATCCGAGAGATTATGTGGAAGGAGGTCCAAGATATGCTCGAGAATGAGGTGATTGAACCATCGCACAGCGAATGGTGTAATCCGATCGTCATGGTCAAAAAGCCCAATGGCAAGTATCGGTTCTGCATTGACTTCCGAAAAGTCAACGCGGTTACAAAAAAAGACGCGTATCCCATTCCTAACATGTCCGGAATCCTCGACGAACTTCGTCAGGCTAATTACATTA